AATCCGAGAGCCCAGTGGCAGGATCCGTCCCGTCAGGTGCCCTCGTACCCCCCAGCGGGTACCTGAGCAGCACCTGGCCCTTGACCCCCGGCCTCCTGTATCCTTACTCCTCCTCGCTCATGAGATCCTACGCCTCCGCCGCCACGCTGGGATCCCTGTGGAACTCGGCGTCGCTCAGCTCACACACCAAACACTACTCGGGTGAGAACGGCGTCTGGCCGCTTTCGTGGCTGTGACCTTGCAGTTATTTGTGCTCTCCCTCTCCCTCTTCCCTTCTACCTCCTTCGATCTCTCTCCTTCCTTCCTCTTCTTTGTGAAATAATATCTGTTTTTCCCCGTGCGCCTCCACTCACACGCCCTTCACCTCCTCCCGCAGCCGGCCCGATGCCCCTGTCTCCCGAGAAGCGCGAGGAGCCCCTGAACCTGTCCCTGAAGAGCTCGCGGCCCACCAAGGCGGCCATCTGGTCCCCCGCGTCGGCGCTCGAGCAAGAGGAGAAGGAGGAGTCGCTGCCGTCGCCCACAGGTCGCCTCAGCCCGATGGATTCGAGCGACTGCGAGGCGCCGCACGCCCTACACGACGACGCCTGCAGGGACCCCCGCGCGCCACCCCTCGACCCCCTCAGCCTTCGCCTGGGCCTCCGTCAGTACGCCGACTTTGTGGTCAACCTGCAGGGCCTGGCAACGCGCGACAAAGAGACAGAAGCCCCCGTGCCCCCGCGGGACGAGGGTATCTCGCCGTCGTGGTGCCCCTCCGTGTGGCCGTGGGCGTCCGTGTACCGCGGCGCCGACGTCTACTCCTGCCGCCACTGCGCCAAGTCCTTCAACTCTCCGCTTAGCCTCGATGTCCACGTCAAGAGGACCCACTCGGCCGCCGCGCACCACAAGGCCGCCGGAGGAGACCTGTCCGACAGTGAGAAGATCCTGCCGCCGCCGCCCAGCCTCATCCCGATCTCCAGCGCCAGGACCGAGAAGACCTTCCAGGTAGTGGAGGGTTCCCCTCGGGTCGCCCCGACGGCGGAGCCTCTGAATCTTTCAGCAAATTGATTGCGTCATATGCGCTGAACACAGGAATCTCGAAACTTTTGTACCATAACGCTAGGATGTGTATCACACAATCGGACGCGCACGCGCGTGCACACAGACGCCCAGATTATATTTCTATAGATATGTGTACTACATATTCATTTACAGTTATATGTGTTTTTCTCTTCACCAAGAGCTGCACTCTAACCATTCCTCTCCTCCCGCAGTGCAAGCAGTGTGGAAAGTGCTTCAAGAGATCATCCACGCTCTCCACCCACCTCCTCATCCACTCTGACACCCGCCCATACCCGTGCCAGTACTGCGGAAAGCGGTTCCACCAGAAGTCGGATATGAAGAAACACACGTATATCCACACTGGTGAGTTGTTGTGATCATATACATATAGATAGATAGGGAGAGAGAGAGAGAGAGAGAGAGAGAGAGAGAGAGAGAGAGAGAGAGAGAGAGAGAGAGAGAGAGAGAGAGAGAGAGAGAGAGAGAGAGAGAGAGAGAGAGCAAGAGATAGATGGATAGAGAGAGAGAGTAGGGGGCGGGGGAGTAAGAAAGGCAGGTAAAAGTAAGAAAAGAGGGATAGAGAACAAGAGAGCTTAAGGGAAGGAAAGGGAAGCCGCGAGATACGACCCCAGCACACAACCCCTTTTCGCCCCAGAACTGAGCGACGGAGACCAACAGACAGACCAACGGCCTGCGTCCTTTTCTGTCACTTTACTTGCTTGTTAAAGCAGATATCTCTGGGCGTGATCCGCTGCGGCGCTGAGTGGCCGCCCACTCGGTCAAACAGCGACCTAATTGCCTCGTCATCAGGCAGACCAATAAACAATATGCAAATGCGGAGAAGAACAAGAAAAAACAATATTTGCCCGCGGGCGCATATCAGATCGCTGGGCGTGACGCCCACTTCGTTTGATTCTATCAAGTATTCATCGTGAGCGCTTTCGAGTTGTGGATATTGCATCAATCATTCACGGGATTGCTTCACGTCGGGGACCAGCAAGGCGGAGTGCGGGCCGGGCGGGGCCGGCACTCGGAGGAGCCGACTGTGCGAGAGAAGGAACGGGAAATGCGAGGAACGAGGCGATAAATTGGGACACAAATGATACAGAGGATAATTTGGGTGATCCCTGCGCACGTAACGAGAGTGCTTTTTTAAAGAGGGGAAGGGGAGAAGAAGAAAGAAAGAAAGAAAAATATAGGTGATAAATTATAAAGAAAAATAAACATCATAATTTGGGCGATGCTTCTGCATGCAAGGGGAATGCACTCTTGGAGGGGGTGGCGCTGCTGCCGCAAGAAGGCGGGCAAGAGCTTTTAGGGACGAGGCATGACAGGAGCGGCGAGTGGAGAGTGCTTGAGACGGGCGGGGCGGACCGGAGTGGAGGAGGAGGAGGATTTGGCAGGCAGAACAGGCTCCCTCTGTCGAGACCTTGGCAGTCCGAGGACAGAAGGAGGGAAACGAGGATGGCGGCGGCGGAAGGAAGGACGGAAAAGCGAGCTCGAGGAGGGCCGCCCTCGGCTGCTCCAACGCAACCCGATATTGATATTTCATCGTTCACAATTAGGCTTTCGATGGATCGTTCTCCAGGCTTCGACGCGCCGCGGCCATTTGTCAAGCGCTTGTCCTGAAAGACTTGGTGGCAGCGCCCGCCCGGCTATTGTCACGCCTCGCCCGCCCTCCTTCCCTCCTTCCCTCCTTCCCTCCTTCACCCGTCGCCTTTAATTCTCCCTCCCTTCCTCCTCTAGTTACTTTGAACTTTCCTCCCTCCATCCTTCTATCCTTTTCCTTCCTTTTTTCTTCTCCCCCTTTCTGTCTCTGGCATGCCTCTCTTCGTCTTTTCTATGCATCCCTCCATTCTCCTTCTCCTCCCTCCTTTCCCTCCTCCCCTTTATGATCTACCTAACTCCTCCTTTCTTCGTCCTCCCAAGTTCCCCTCTCACGACCTCTTCTCCTGTTCTTCCCCTCCTTTCCCATCCCTTTCCCCCTTCTTTCTCTTCCACTTCCTCCCTTCCCCTCCCATCCCTTCCCTTCCCTTCCCCTCCCTTCCCTTCCCCTCCCTTCCCCTCCCTTCCCTCCCTCCCTCGTTCTCCCAAAGATTTGTAGCCTCGCATTTAGGATTTTATCGAGCGCCAGCCCTTGAGGAGTTAAACGGAGTATTGAATGCGGAATATTTATACTTTATATGGTTTCATTGTGTAATCTACGGTCGTTACGGCGCACAAAGAGGCGGCCGCGAGACACACGCCCTCGAAAGGTGGGGATTTATTGCTCTGGGGAGCGGAGGGGTGAGGGAGGAGGGAGGGGGAGAGAGAAGGAAGGGCCAGAGGGGAAGAGAAGGAGGGGAAAGAGGTTGGAAAGGAAGAGGAGAATTGTGTGAAGAAGGGGGAATCATAGAGGAAGAAGAGTGACATAAAGAAAAGAAAGGAAGAGAGAGAGGGTGAAGGGAAGTGTAGATAGGCAAAAGCAAGAAGAGGAATCTTTCTACGGACCTCCCCATCCCCTCCCCACCCTTCCCCTCCCTCTGAATCTTCGCTCTTAACCCCCCCCCCCCCGGACGTGAGCTGCCACAGTGAAAGTGAGGGGAATATATCGAGATATTAAGTGATTATTAAATAAAATATGTTATATATGAGGATTTTTAAATACACTGGTTATCTACTAGTATTTACGCAAATATTCGCATTGAAATGAATCGAGGCGGCGCGTTAATTCAGTCATTTTCTCATTACCGTTGACCGCTGGCGCTTCGGGTCCTCGCCGGGAAGGACGCGGGTCACGATCCCTCGGAACGTGAAGTGCGGGCGTGAAAATGGCTCTCTGGCTCTGCGTTTACGATCTCGCGGCCTCGGCGTAATGCCTTCCTTGCTTTGGCTTTTATGGAGGCGCGTGCTTGGGGCGCCAGTGGGGAGGGGGAGGGGGGTTGGGGGCACGGGGCCTTTTCTGTTGGGTTTCACTCTCATTCGCTCTTGTCCTTTCTTCTCTCTCTCTCTCTCGCTCTCGCTCTCTCTCTCTCTCTCTCTCTCTCTCTCTCTCTCTCTCTCTCTCTCTCTCTCTCTCTCTCTCTCTCTCTCTCTCTCTCTCTCTCTCTCTCTCTCTCTCTTCCTCTCTTCTCCCTCTCTCCTTCCTTCCCTCTCGTCCTCCCCCCTCCCTTTCTCTCTCCCCCCTTCCCTCTCAGTCTCCCCTACCCCCTCCTCCCCACCACAGCTTGACGATGCAATTATCGACGTTTGCTCAACAACAATAGGCTTAAGCTGGAATGAACTAAGCTAACCGATAGCCTATAGGTGTGTCTGGGGGGGGGGGGGTTGTATGGGTGGGCGTGAGAACCATAAACGAGGGCGTGGCAATGTTTGATGTTAGAAATATGTTTGTGCGTGTGTGCGCTGGGGTGAGGTAATGTTTGCGAGTGTCATAGGTGTGTGTGTGTGTGTGTGTGTGTGTATGTGTGTGTGTGTGAGTGTGAGTGAGTATTTTATGGCTATCATGAATGTGCAGGTGTGGATATAACTCCTTATAAAACACATCACGTTCGCTCAAATTATTATACACACAAATGTACAAATAAACAGCGACAAATGGTGTGTATTTGTATACATATAAATGTGTGTGAGAGAGATATCCTGTTTCTTTTTTGGTTTTTGTATGTATATGATAGTTGCAAAATGAATGCGTCAGTGCCCCATCCCCCCCCTTCCCTCTGCCCTCCCCGCCCCCCCTTCCTCCTGCTCCGAGTCAAGATTAATCGCCGAGCTGGAGCGCCGCCTCAATCATTCATAACGTCTACTTGACCAATGAATTGCTCCACTCATTACGGCATTGTTTGCCGTCGTAATGCTCCGCCGTATTAATGACCCTCATAACCGTGCGTTTTATGGCCGGATCATTATTGGACTGGTGGGGGGGGGCGGGGGGGCACGGAGGGAACGAGAGCTTGTGGGCGGGGAGGCCGAGGCGGAGCCGAAGCCAAAGCCACGTCTTGCTTGACGAAAGGAAGTGTCCCATCGCTCTTTTATTTTCTTTTTTATTCTTATATTTTCCTGGACGAAATCAGAACTCTAAAGCCATTCTTATCTTCACTCGCCCGCCCGCCCGCCCGCGCGCCCGCACGCCTCTATACACGCTCCCGCCGGCAATTATCTTAATTATGCACACTCGATAGTCTATCAATAATGCAAGCGAACTAATTGTTCCTTCACCTGCACCTCCAAAACGCGGCAAATCCGAAGGGACTTGAAAGTGCTCTTATACAAGCGCTCGTTTGGTCGATAATCTGACGCAAGTACGTTGAGACTTGGACCATCTCGTGTTAGGAACTTAGGGTGTTACGTGGACTGTCCCGTGCGTGTGTGTGTATGTGTGTGTGTGTGTGTGTGTGTGTGTGTGTGTGTGTGTGTGTGTGTGTGTGTATGTGTGTGTGTGTATGTGTGTGTGTGTGATGTGTGTGTGTGTGTGTGTGTGTGTGTGTGTGTGTGTGTGTTTGTGAGTGTGTGTGTGTTGGGTGGGTATGTTTGTGCGTATATTTACACGTGTTTTAGAGAGAGAATGGGTACAAGAGAGCGGGGTTAACAGCAGAGGAGAGGCACGAAAAGGAAAGACAAAACCTAGACCTCGCGCCCTCCAGCGACTGAAACCCCGAAGCGCCGGGTTCTCGCGACTCGTCACCCATTCACGCTCGTCCTCACACTCGAGCGTCCGAAAGCCAGCGTCACTCTTCGGGAGTGATGTGTTCGCGCACGTGCTGGGCGGCTTCGTTTGCTTTATAAATAGCGTCTCGCTGAAGTGTTTGCGAAGTTCCGGAGGATTTAAGAACATTTTTATTCCTCCACCGCAGAGCGTTACAGCACTGCCGTGGAAGAGAGAGAGAGAGAGAGAGGAGAGAGAGAGAGAGAGAGAGAGAGAGAGAGAGAGAGAGAGAGAGAGAGAGAGAGAGAGAGAGAGAGAGAGAGAGAGAAGGAGAGGGGAGAGGGAGTGGAGAGAGTGAGAGAGAGAGAGAGATCAATACAACATTGTCACCTTCCGTAATGTTGTCACGTCCAATTGTCAGTAGAGGGCAGCACTTGAAAACGCCCCCATCTCTCTCTCTCCTCTCTCTCTCTCTCTCTCTCTCTCCCCCCCCCCCCTCTCTCTCTTATCGCTAGATATGGTAAAGGATTTATCTTCTTGTTTTCCATCTTTTTAAGTGTTAGGGCTATTTCATTATAATTTTCATGATATTTTCTTCCATCTCATCCCTCCCGCTCCTTATTTTATTATCTTTCGCGCCGAAGAAGTTTAATAAGAGTAATGTCCAACGATAAATTATGTCCCCCAAGATATTTTCGGCTTAATTGCTCCTAATTCCATACTCTAGTTTGACTGACAGGTTGATCTATCCGCCAAAGGATCATGAAGCTGCCTCATTATGTCTTGCATGATAATTCGTTGCATAATAAATCACCCACTCTGAGGTTGTTGAATAATGAGTTACTTAATTTTGTTTTCTTCCCTGCACATTAAATGAGCTCTTCTGGGGCCTCGTTTCACTCTTTGGCTGGTTAGCTTTTTGTCTTTTTGTTCTGTTCCATTTTTGTTTCGTGTCTTGCCTGTCTTTTGATATTTGACGCTTTGGGTTGAAGAGCCTTGCATTAATTTCCCTCCTTGTTCCCGGCAGGCGAGAAGCCCCACAAGTGCGTGGTGTGCGGCAAGGCCTTCAGCCAGTCGTCCAACCTCATCACGCACATGCGGAAGCACACCGGCTACAAGCCCTTCGCCTGCGGACTCTGCGACAAGGCCTTCCAGCGCAAGGTGGACCTCCGGCGCCACCGAGAATCCGTCCACCCGAACTGCGAGCACATTCCGCCTCCGCCGCCGCAGCCCTTCCCCACGCACAACAACCACGAGGCCAACAACAATAACAACAACGATAACAGCAGCGACAACAACAACGACACGACGGCCACCAACAACAATCCCTCGTCGGAGCTGGACGCCTCGGCGACCAGCGAAACGGTCCTGGGCACGCAGATATAGGCCTCGAGGCGGGAGGCGGGGTTGCGCGTCCCTCAGTGATGGTCCAAGGAAGAGCCTTTCCCCAACCCCACCAGCGTAGCCGTCGCGAGCCGAGAGTGGAGTGGGAGGAAGTGTATATAGAGATATTTATATACATGAAGATGTCTAGTACTATCACGCTAATGTATTCTGACAGTGTACTTAAGTGTTGACCCCAGCAGTGCCCGGTGGTGGAGATCGTACCGCTGTACCACAGTATTGCTCAAGGGCACAGTACACGGTTTTCGCACTCGGTGTGGGTGTTACACCTTTTATACACAGGTGTGTGTAGTGTATGTACATTGGTGTGTACAGAGCTGGGGCCCCCGGCGTCGCCAGAGACATGCCGAAGGAACTGTGGCATTCGACGTCGGCGGGCACTGTAGCTAAGGAGAAAGAATGTATATTCATTTCGTTTTTAATTTCTTGTTGAGTTGGATCTTTTCGAACCGTCTCGAAACTCTAGAATCTCCGTCGGAGACTTGACAAGTTTCTTGCCTGAGTCGGGATACGCGTTATACTTAATGATCCGCTACCCGGTCTCGTCTCCAGATCACGACGATGAGGCGTCGCCCTCATTGCTGCCTCGGGCGACGGCCTGGGCGCGGACCGGGACAGTCTCGTAGTCATTCGCGAGGTACAAACCCTTCAGTATTAGATAGAAAAAGAAAGCGAGAGGACCGCACCGAAGTGTGAGCTCTTCCTCCTCGAACCGGGCGTCTGAGGGAGAGACGCAAGAAACACCACTGGACCCCTCGGGACGGCGCCGCCTTTGGAGCAGCGTTCACTGGCCTCGAGGGGTTCTCTCCGGGCACGCCGGCGCCCCTGCCTCCTGAGGCTGAAAGGACGTCTACGTCCAACAGACCTCCTTCACATTTGGCCGAATCAACGCGCGTCCTCGCACACAGTCGCTGGAGGCAGGAAGACCCACCGCGCTGCCTCAGCTTGTGGAAGAACCAGGAGGAAGAAGGAGCACTGAAGGAGCCCCTTCTGAATCCCGAACCACCAGTGGCCCAGAAAGGAACTGCCGGCTGCTGCCAGAAAGAGACGGACTGCAGTCGGCGACACAATCCGACCGCAGACGAGGACCGCAGCGCCGGTTAAACTGCAAATAATATATGGCCGCAGCGCAGGTGTTAGACGCAGGGCCAGTGGTGTGACTTGCGTGGTAGTTCCTCGTCACACAGTTAGGGACTAGTCAGTTAGCATCGAACCAAAGTAAGTTGTAAGTCAGCCCTATTTAACATGGTGAACTAATGACAGTGAATTGTATTAATTAGGTTTATTATTTTTTTCTCTTTCTCTTTCTTTTTTGTGATTATGATGATTATCATTTCTTTGCGTTTTTTTCTTTAGTAGAGCCGAGTAAAGTGTCAAGAAATCAGCTATTTAAATTTGTCAAATAACTTGACTTTTGAAGGAGGTGCAAGTAAGAATAACTGGAGTATTCACTCCTGGAGAGAGACCTTTTGTAATGAGCGACACTGTACATTGAACAGTATAAATTATACTTAAGGAAATAAAATGTTATCGCCGCACCTTTCCAGTCCGTCCACAAATGATTCATAAGTGTTTAGAAATGCCTTATCTATTATATATATATATATAAAAAATCATGACTATAGGCTTATATTTGCCATCCGCGTTGTTATCGTAATCACGGTTAATAGTACTATATTTTGTATATACATGCACGGAGACGTCGTAACTGAGCGTTCACGCTGTGCCTTCATGATAAATCGTAGCCGTCTACGTCAGTGCCTTCAACTACGGGACACAGTGCCACACGAGCCGCCCTCCGCGCCGCAGCCCCCTTTTACCCCCCCCCCCCCGTCACTCTTCAACCCAGCTTGTTACCTAACCCCCTAATCAGTCCCTCCCATCACCCCCCCCCCCCAACACGGGAACTGGCGACGGCGTGTGTGCGGAGTAGAAGCGAGTGTCTGAAGCCGTACCATGCTCCTTTGGTCGGAAAATCCTGGAAGTTCGTTTTTGTTCTGTGGCCCCGATTTATTTTTCTGTGTTCCTTTTTTATTCGAATATCTTTTAGTATGTATATCTATCGCCCCTTTCTTTAAGTTTTATTAAGAACGTGGAATTGTAAGTTGCAGAAAGGAGTTAAGTGAATCATCGTCGAAATGAAGTTACTGTGGATGTTGTGTTGATGTGAACCCCCTCCCCTCCTCCCGCTCCTCATTCCCGTCCCCTCCCGCACTCCCTCCCTCACGATGCCAAACAGTGCCAGGCCAGGGAGGTCACGGGGGAGGGGAGGGAAAGCGAGGAGGAGAAGGAGGCGAGGGGCGTTAAATTCGTGATCGCCAGGGTTTCCTATATGTTGCAAAGCTTATGCAAAATGAAAAAAAAAGAAAGTGAAAGCTGACCAATCTTGATACACAAGCGACTTTGTTTCCCAACGAAGAGCACTTCAGCTTACGCTCACTTCACCTATCGCAGCCTGTATCGAGCTTCGCCTCTCGAGCTCCTCCGCCCTTCCGGCAGAGGAGAGCGACACGAAAAGCAAAAGGCTTTGGCCCGAGAGAACCGACCAAGCAGCCTCGGAGTCGCTGGTCAGATAGGAAGCACTGAGTCGGACGCGAACCATGTACAGCGAGGAATTTCTTGTATTTTTGGCTCATGTGTTGTAAATACTGATGTTTACTTTTATTTCTTTTTTGTACAATGCCAAAGAGATAGTAATTGTCTACCTTCCTCTCTGCTTCTACCAGTCGCTGGCCTCAAGCACCCCCTGTTTGGCGAGGCAGCGCGAACTCTGTATGATAAAAAATCAAATGCGGGAGATTATGGTGTCCTTTTATTGTCGTTACCGTCGTATGTATTTGCCTGACGCTTGTTCTCTGCAATGTCAGTCCCCTTGTCCCGTCTCTCTTTTTTCTGTTTTTCTTCTTCCTCCCCCTTCTTCTTCTTCTTCTTCCT